TTTTTCTTTGGCTTTTTTGTTTCTACCTTCGCCTTTGTTGCTGGTAATTTGTTCTTGTTCTGCATAAGTTTTCCTTGATGGTGGGGTGGTGTTGAACTCGTAGGAAGCCTTGCATGGCCAAAGGACATTCCAAACGGAATTGGATGCTAGCGAGCGTGTATGTGAAAGTTTGTTGCTGGTTTTTTAATCATTTTCATTAAAGGTTTTACTCAGATTTTGGCAGCAGTTAAATTTCATTTAATATTATATTATGTTAACCTTTAATTGTAAAGAAGCCTTGAAAAAATGTTAATGCTATGCATACTCAAAATGGTTTATTTGGTTTTCATTTTATTGCCACTATTGCTATTAAGCTTTAAATAAAAAAAATCCTCTCGTTTAATTAAGTTTTCATTTCTCAAGTCATGACTCTTCTACATATGTATTTAATCAATTATTATTAACGGATCATAAGATCCCCATATTTCGCAGCACTTTTCCTCATTACCCTTTATGCATTTTTATTCGTATAATTTTATTATAAATATTGCCGCTCGCCCCCAAGCTTCGATTTTCCAGCGCTACGTATGCAAATTAAATTTACATTTATTTTTCGTGACTCGATGCAAATTTGCGCAATGCGAGACAGGTGGTGTGGAGGAGGGTCCTGTGGGCTGAGTGATGGCCCGGCTGGAGGGGGCGTGGTCCTGCCTGTCTCTACCGCTGCACGCTCAGCACGTTTATTCGCACTTAATTCGCACTTTTTGACACCTTTGTGACCGAACCGGCCGATCCCCCCGATCTCCTGACCCCCCGCAAGTCCTGCCAAAGTCCGAAAAGTAAATATACAAACTCTGCCCGTGCCCCCGACCCTCTACCCCCTACCCCCTCCTCCCCCCTGCACATGTCAGCGGCATAATGTGCATTGCTACCGAAGAGAGAACGGCGCGAAAAATTATGCAAAATAAATTAATTACCAATTAAGGATGGGGATGATGCAGCACAGCTGTTGTTCGCGGATTTCTGACCCCCCCCCATTCCGCCCCCTCCTCGTGATTTTCCGCCCTGTTTTGGGGGTTGCAATCTCGTTTTCCCTTTTAGGTTTCCGCTGGTGCGTTTGTCACATGAGCACCGCCACTAATTAGTGTCATTAAAAGCGCTCCACATGAGAGGAGCACCCTTGAGCGAAGGGCCGGCCAACCCCATCGGGAAAGTGCATAAAACGTGACACAAAATTGCAGCGGCCAAATAAATAAACCATAAACATAACTGACCGCAGAAATTAACTTAATTCCAAGAGGTTCTCTATCGGCTCGCGGGAAAGGGTAAAAGGTAAAAGGTAAAAGCAAAGGGGTGGTGGCCAAGCCAGTAAGCAAGTAACTTCCGTTAACTTGCGTGCAAACCCGTAATTTCCAGAGGAGAGACCCCTTATTTCTTTGTCCCTCGAATTGGGGTTAAAAAGGGTTTAAGTTGCCACTAACTTGGGTCACATGCATATGCATAATTATAGACCGCCTCGTCCGGAACGGAACGAACCCCGCCGCCCCGCCTCGTCCTCCTCCGCTTAGCAAACTAAACTGTGAAAACGCCAGAGGGGCTTCAAAGGAGGCCCCGGGTATTATGCCGCTGACCGGAATACGATGCCCCGCCCACCCATCAGCCCACTAGCCCACCTGGCACGTGAAATTTGAATATTGATTGGCTTTAATGAGTGTCGTTGGTCGCGCAATTAGTTCGGCAAGGGTTTGTGGAGCCCAGAGCAGCGGAAATGTGTGGTGCTCAGGGTGGCCTCACGGGCGTAGGAATTCCGGGTTCCCCTATGCTTCTTATTAATAATTTTTTATTAAAAAGAACATTTTGTTTTTTTTTGGGATAGAGCTATTACAAAACGAAATCTAACTTGTGGACTTATATATAAATAGTTTAATTGTACGTTTATTGCGAATATATTTTACACAGAAATATGTTGACTTAATTTTAGATGAATTGTGGTATATTTTGGCTTCTTTTAAAAATTTACTAGATATTTTTTTTGTGTAACAACAAGCTTACCAAAAGTATTTATTAAGTATTTATACTTAATGTTTCTGACAAAACTTACCAACTTATTTATTTGCTGATTATTTTTTTCAAAAGCGCTTTTTTTCGATTCATCAGATTTTTATGGGTGTATATATATATATATATATATATATTTATATTTTTCATATGCAAATTAAAAATATTATTTTTCTCAAAATCCTTAATCTGGTTTTAGTTGAGATAATTTTTATTTCGGTGTATGGTGACACCAGCAAATCCCTTCCTGCTAATTGATCGGTCAGCGCTAGATTTAAAGACTCCGATCGCCGGGCAGGCTCTAACTAAACTAATTACATATCAGTCAGTCAGTCAGTGGGTGAGTCAATCAATCAATCAAGCTGCCAGCGGCAGAGAGATCATTTGCCAGGGGCCTATCTCTGCATCGGACCAAAATTGGATGCAAATTGAAAAGCATTTTGTGGGAATGTAATGCATAAATTAATTGAGCGGGCACACACAGAGAGAAAAAGCGGGGGGCGAAACTATGAATCTGCATTGAGTGAGTGAGTGTGGCGGGGAAAGGCGGTTGCCTGATAAAGCATTCATGCAGCCCACGCCCACCACTAGTGGAAATGCAATTGAAAATGAAAATCTAATATGGACGCGCGTTGCCGAGCGGCGTTTAGCATTCGATTTCATTTGTCTAAACTAAATAACAATGCAGTCTGGGTGGGCAGAGGCGCAGTGGCAATGGAAGTTGCAGGGCCGTGGTGGCGTTGCATGTTGCATGTTGCAGCTGCCAAAATTGAGTTTTGATGCGCTGCATCCTCCATCTGCAGGCCTCCAGTCCTGTTATTGTTTGAAACGTCGCGTTAAATTTACATAAATTGATTTGATTGAATTTTTATGAGTCGGCATTGCAGTCCACTGCCAGTTGACCATTCCACACCACCAGTTTTGGCATTCCGAAGCTCCCCAATGACCAGCGGGCATCAACTGCTGATGACTTTTCGACCCTTCCGCTGCCTCGCAGGAAGTGGAGGAAGTGGAGGGCAGGCCAGGGGGCTTGGAGGCAACCGTCTAATTAAAGTCATTTCCAGCAGCTGCATAGCCCCTCACTTTGGGCCGTGGTTAAGTCGAGGTCACAGTTGGCGCTACATGGTGCAGGGCTTAATGCGAGCCATTTGGCCCGGACCTGGCCCTGGACAACGGACAACGGACAGCGGACAAGTGAAAACGGACAAGGGACAGGGGACACGGACGAGGGCAATCAGCGCAAAGAGAGGCGGCCAAAAGCAGAACCAGGCACAGCACACATTGTGTCCACCTTCTGTGGGGGTAGGGCCTTATGCAGAGAAAAAAAAGTATATTGAAAAGCAAGTTTAACAAAATCAAACTATTTAAAAGCTTTGTTTGTTGTAGGGCCATCATATACCTACGAAACGGAATTTGTCGGAACATTTTATTTCTTATTCCGAAAACCCGTGTGCTTTTATCAGGAACCGTTATTACTATAAGTTATGTTTTTCAAATTGCATTATTCAATTTAAAGTTGACTTTAATTACTTTTAGTTAATTAATAAACCATTATAATTGTTTGTATAATAATAATCGTTTCCAAGATAATAAACATCTGGTGAAATGACTAAGAAGCATATCAAAATTTCTGAAGCTTACCTAAGACGTGTTTTTTGCAGTGTAGTGAGTGCAACATGGCCGGGGCATTGCATATTTTTAGGGTTTCCCCGGCGCTGGTTGAAATTTGCACATTGCAACTAACTATTTAGCAGTGGCGAAGGTTTGGGGGGCGCCAATTTGTCATAAATCTCGTTATTTTAAATCGTCGCTTGGCATTCCACGGAATTGTGTGTGGGTAAATGGGCCTTTATTTGCATTGATTTGTTGTTGTTCGGCATTCGCCCAGCGAACGTCAACGTTATCGAGCGGGAGCAGTCGGAGATTTTATTTTGGGGCTTTTTAAATAGTTTAAGCAGGGGAAAAGTAAGAATTACGGTCGTATTTAACTAAATTTTGTATAGCACAAAGTCTCTATTAAAATTAATTGTTGATAATAAGGAGTATACAAACTTGTAAAACATATTCTATAACTTAAAAACTTAATAACTCTAAGAAATGGATTGACCTGTGGAATTTGGATTTTTAAATTCCACTTCAAAGTATTAGGTTATTTTAAAATTGCAAACTATGTATGGAAAGGGGTTAATAAATCATAGTGAAATTCGAGAAGCGATCGGTAACCTTGTGTTGAGAAGTTGGCAGCAGGCGATTCAACCCGGCTCGTTGGTCTAGAGGTATGATTCTCGCTTCGGGTGCGAGAGGTCCCGGGTTCAATTCCCGGACGAGCCCAAGTGGAAAGTAAAATTTTTTTTTATTTTAAAATAAATACATTTAAAAAATATTTAATTGACAAGAAATGCCATTTATAAAGGAACACTTTGTGTTTTTCAAGGTTTGCCAAATATTTGCACAGATTTTTAACAAGCATTGTTTGCCAAGCCCAAAAGTATGCCTCACAATGAAGATCTTTTAAATAGTGGCGCCGCCGTTGCGGTGGCGCATTTGTTGACATTCCGTCACAGCTGACAACTGCCGTTACTTTTAGAGAACCAATAAATGTTTGCCCACAATTTCGTACCAAACTTTGCTGCTATATACAGAAATAAGTGTATTCTTATTTTAAATAAAACAAGATTTTATACATCTCATGAGAAATATTTTTGTATTAAGTAAACGCCCTTTGTTTTGAAATAGTTTATTATTAATTTTAATTAATATCAGGTTCCCATCTTATGCTCTATTTCTGGGAAATATATTTTGGCATTGGAAATTACAATTTCCAATGTATTATAATCAGGTTCGCATCTGTAATTTTAGGAAATATCGTAATTTAAAAATTCTCCAAGATGTTAGAAATTGTACCAATATGGTGGCCAAAATGTACCAATAATGTCACTCGTGGTTTGATTGGTATTTTCCAACACTGTTAGTAAAGAAGCCATCGCTTCGAGAACTTTTGCGGAAGAACTTTTAATAAAACTAAGAGAAACCCCTGAGGGATATCGACATGGAGTACCTGTACAACGCTAGTATTCAGTGCGAGGACGAGGAACGCGTCAATTTCTACAACTTTGACAAGTTCTTTGTGCCACATGGACAGACCCAGGAGCTGGAGCAGCAGGCGGTCCTGTGGCAGCCCGTGTGGCAGTATGAGTTTTCACTGTCGCCAAACTTCACTTATTGGCAGGAAATCAGTACCTCTAATGTATATACATATACCAAAAGCATTCATTGGCCTGCAAGAAACCGCATCCTTATGAGTTCCTCTCCTCCTCTTCTTGCAGATGATGACTATGGACATTACCAAAACCGAACCCGGACTCGTCGGGCTTTCCTCCAACCAACAGCAGCAGCAATCGCAGCAAACCAACGCCGGCATGAACAGCGTTGGCCAGAACAACGGGCCCAATCCCAATGGCAATGGGAACGTGGTCAATGTGGTCAACTCCGGCGGTGCCGGTGGTGGCAACAATGGCAACGGGAATGTCCAGAGCATCGCCGCTGCTGCCAACAACAATAACAATAACAACAACAACGGCAGCCAATTGTGCGCAGGATGCGGCAAGCACATCCAGGATCGCTACCTGCTCCGCGCTTTGGACATGCTGTGGCACGAGGACTGCCTCAAGTGCGGCTGCTGCGACTGCCGCCTGGGCGAAGTGGGCTCCACGCTCTACACCAAGGGCAACCTGATGCTCTGCAAGCGGGACTACTTGAGGTGAGCTTTCAGCCAGATCCGAGTGCTGTGGCAGAACATCAAGATTTTATATATGAAAAGAGCTATAAATAAAAACACTGATTTTGGCCTCTAAAAGAAGGAAGCTTAAAGAATTCGATATAATTTAGGAAACCGGTCAATATTAACTGTTCATGTTCAAGTATATTGGACTGTATTACGAGTTGTAATAGAACACTTATAATATTTGGACCAAGTTGATTACTTAGTAATTCTGAGATGATCTTTAAAAGCCAGCCGGCATATAAAAGGAGCTTAGCCAAATATTTCTTGGTTGTGTTCGATTATTTAGATGGCTCTTTAAAACTAAAACTTTTAAGTTCTTTGTGTTTTTATTACAAAGTGTAACCTTGTTGAAACCATACAGTTTTTTTTTGATAATTTCCTAAAGCTGTCTCTAGCTTTTTTAGAGTTCAAACTTTTATCTTCTTAAATATTCTTAGTATGACAAAAAGAGTTCTTTATTTATTTCTTTCTTGCAACTTCTATGCATCGATCTCTATATGGCAGAAGTTCGAATGGTTTTCTTAATATTAACTAACTTATTTCACTAAACTATTTATATTTACCAATTTTCTTCCGCAGATTGTTTGGCAACACGGGCTACTGTGCCGCCTGCAGCAAGGTGATCCCCGCCTTCGAAATGGTGATGCGTGCCCGCACCAACGTCTACCATCTGGAGTGCTTCGCCTGTCAGCAGTGTAACCACAGGTGAGCATTGAACCGATCGTATTCACTGTCCCCATTCCCATCCAATTGCCTCATCGCCATCATCCATCATGTGGAAGCGACTAATGCCCGGTCGGCAGCCGATTTCGTATGCATTTTTATGGGCAATTTGCACACTGATTCGCATTGGAGGTGGCCGCATAAATCCCTTTTTAATCTTTGCCCCATCGAAGCGGGCCCAAAGTGGCACTTGAAGTTTTATTAACGTGCTGGCAGGCAGCAAATTGCCGTCGTTTACAAGCTAACAGCAAAACAAACGGGGTGGGAAACCCCTTTAGTGTCATACGTTTTCTATGAAAACCGCATAAATTTCGCATTGAACCGAACCCTTTTGGGTGCCATCAGCTTGGCCCTCCCGCATTCGACGGCCTCAAATATTTTATTGGACTTGGCCAATTCGTGAAATGTCACTCTGGAGAGCTTTAAACTGCAGCCTGGCTTGGCTGACTGGTGGTGGATGGGGTCGCGTCTCATTCTTCGCTTTGGTCAGCAATCCCGCCTCGTTTCGTTTGGTTTGGTTTGGTTTCGTTTTCGTTTCGGGTTTCTGCATTAATAATGAGGGCGCACATATGCCTCCGTGGCCCGGCATAGTCGTCGTCGATTGTGCAACAAGGGAGCGAACATTAAATATTAAAAATGCCGCCACACGGCGCTGGCTGGTAAAAAATATTGAAATAAATGTTAAAACATATTGGCATATTGTGAGAATCGTCTCCACCCGGTTGACCCCCGCTCCTTAACCGGATGTCCCTGCTTTTGCTGGGCCTTTGTTTTCGCATTGCCCAGAATTGCCTTTAAAAATGTAACAGGAGCAACGAACTCAAACCTTCCTTGCGGAGTTACCATTAAGGCTAATTTTCTTTAACCCATTTGAGTTTATAATTGAGCTTTTGAAAGTCCATATTGAAGAAGTGGCTATATAAGATTTATCGGCTATAAAGCTAGTTTATTATATAGTTGTTATTGACCAGGTCAATAGGACATAAGACCGTGATATTTTGATATTTTTGTAATTCTACTTCTAAAAGTTGAGTAATAGAGATAGGAATATTTTATCAGAAGTTGTCCTAATTGGATAGAAGATCGAGTTTGGGGTGCTATGCTGATAGGCCTTATTGAAATACTACATACTTTTTTTGCCAGCTTTTCAGAAGAAGAGATTGCCCCCCTTCTGCTGCTAATCAATTTTTCACGTAAATTAATTCAATTGCCGAAAAAATCCATTGAGGCGTGGCCGCATGGCCAGCGGCTGCTCCTCTCCGCTTCATTGTTGGTTGGATGGCCACATTTAAAATGCGGGCTTTCATTTGGCAAACAAAAAGAGTTTTCCTGTTGAGTTCTGTTCCTGTTGCTGCTGCGGCTGTTTGGGAAATGTTGCAAAATGCATTGCAGTCGCCGATTGTCGACTGTGAGGTTTGCATAATTTCCTGTCGTCAACATCGAACGACGACATCCTTGCTCCGATTGGAGTTGAATCCAAGTCAAATCTTTCGTCCAGTCGAATTTTGTCCTTTTATTTTTTTTAAACAATTTTCCCTTTTATTTTTGTGCTTTTTGTTTTTTACTTTTTGGTACTTCCTGTTGACAATTTGCTGTTGGTTTCTTCTGCTCGGCGGGGGAGGAGCAGTCGAAATGCCCGGATGTGCGAATCCCGCACAGAGGCACTCACTTATCAACATGTCCGTGTCCATTTCCATCGCCATCGCCATGTCACAGGTGCGCTCAATGCCAGGCCAGCGGCAAAAGAAGCAAAAGTTTCGACTTTGTTGACTCTTTTTCGTGGATTTTTGTTGCCTTGTTTTGGTAGATAAACAAAGCGATTTTTTTTACCATACCCCACCGCCCTGCTCCTGCCACGCCCACCCGTCCGTCAATCGATTTGGCCACGCAACCGAAACCAGCGGGCCAACAAAATGTTGACGTAAATCAAAAGCCAAATTTCATATCCGCTGTAAGTCTGCTGTAAGCTGATTTACCCAGACTCCTCCGGATTGGATGCAGTGTTCCCGCCCTCTGGGGAATCAAACTTTAAACGTTTCTTTTTTGCCTGCACCGGAGGAGGGTAGCGGAGCAGCCAAGGAGAGAGTATTGCAGCAGGATGGCAGGATGTGTGTGAAAAGATGGATGACGTTTTGGCATTCAGCAGGACATGTGTAACACGGTCCTGCTGCGGTGACTAAATATGCTTAAGTTCCATAGGAAATTTGTACTCAAAAGTACACGGATCGCTGGCTTTCCTTAAACCAACACCCCAACGAGCTCATTACAAGTCACATTTCGCATTATTAAGTACATCTATACTATAATTTGATGGTATTCGCAAGTACACTTCTTGTAATAAAACCCTTTGTATGGCTATTAGAAATCATTTTCAAAGGACATCCACTCGTCTGCTTAACGCATATATAATTCTCCCCCAGGGCTTCCCATGTTCTTTTCTGCTTTTTTCCGTTTGTAATGCGAGCTCCGTTTTCGTTTTGGTTCGGTTCGGTTCGAGTGAGTCTGTTTGCTGTTTGCCGGAGTGGGCGTGGCAGTCGCCTCTGCCATCCGTACAGGTGCTAACATAAATATTTTGACAAAGGGCTCCATGCCCGGAGAGCTGCTGGGAGCCAACTTTATTTGCAGTTGGCTGAATGCACTCTCGACTCCGGCGAAATGAAGGGGGCCACCTCAACCCCTGCCACGCCAACTGTTGCTGACAGCGCTTATCTGACTTCCTTGTCCTGGTCTCGGTTTTGCTCCTCGTCTGTCTACCACTCCGCTGAGTGGCTGTCCTCCGACTTGGAAATCGTTTTGCCTTTTGTTTTTGGCCGACGACTTTGCCAGTGCCTGAGCAGTTGGCAGTTGGCAGGTTGCAGTCAGTCGCTACAACCGCTGTCAATTGTCATCGCTCATCGCCCATCGCCCATCGTTGTCTTTATGTTGTAGCTGCCTAAGCGTGTGGAAAAATCGTTTCCACTTCCTCTCCGACTTTGTCATTCCGTACTAACCACTGCCGTTTTCCGGCATCTTTTTTCTTTTTGTCCTGCCAGATTCTGCGTGGGCGACCGCTTTTACCTGTGCGAGAACAAGATCCTGTGCGAGTACGACTACGAGGAGCGCCTGGTCTTCGCCTCGATGGCCAATCATCCGATGCTGAAGCGCCACGTCTCTTCGTTGGGCCAAGGATCTCCGACCGGCGCTGCTGGGGCCCAGAATACCGCTGGTGGACTGTTGGGCGGCGGGCCCGGAGGCGCCAATGTGAATGGCGTGGGCATGGTCAACGGACCGCGAACGCCAGGCGATCACAACAACAACAACAATGGCCCCCAGACGCCCACCGGCGGTGGTTCCCCATTCGCCGCAGCCGCCGCTGCTGCCGCCGCCGCTGCACATATGAAGAATCAGCTGGGAGCGTCCAGCTAAAATAAAGCCCTGGGCATGGGCGCTGCGGGGGCTGTTGTGAGTGGATCGGGGATCGGCGCTGGACTTGGAGTTGGAGTTGGAGCGTCGAATCAGCAATTCTACTCGGGCTTTGGGCTGCAGCACCAGCATCAGCATCAGCAGCACCAACAGCAGCAGCAGCAACAGCAGCAGCTCATGGGATTGGGCCTGGGAATGGGCAGCGGTGGAGGAGGAGCAGGATCCGCCGGTGGAGCAGGAACAGGAGGAGGAGGAGTAGGAGGAGGAGGAGGAGGCGTTGGCAGCATCGGCAGCGGCTGCAAGCGCTACCAAAGAAAGTTCTACAACCGCAACTGAGAGAATCGACGGGGGAGAAATCGCTAGGGGAAAGGATACAGAAATCCGGATTCGATATTCAAATCTTCGTTTGCTTTGACTGAGTTCAAGTTTTATAGTTTTAAAGGCCTAGTTTAGTTAGCCTACACAAAAGTACTTGCTGAAGTTGCATACATTTTCGGATTCTAACATTTAAGAGACAATATGTTTACTTAGTTCTATTCGAGAATAATCCCCATTTTTTTAAACAAGGTTTTTTTTTTGTATTTTTACTCAGACCTGTACATATTTTCCTTGTGAACTGTTGACTTTATAGCGCGATCCTTTTTTTTTTTAATACTCCACCATATAGATATATTTGTATTTATCTATGTATAATGCATAAATAATTTTATTTTCACGCTCGAAGCGTGCGGTGCCAAAACAAATTCAAAGCAGTGCCAAAAAGTTAAAAAATAAACGAAGGATTAAAGTGAAGAAAGGGAGAAAGGGGAGGGCGGCTGGAGCAGGAGACTCGGATTTGTGGACTTGTGAAATCGAGAGAGAGTTAAACACCCCCACCGATCAAAGTTTGATTTTGAATGGGTCCCTTGGATCCGAAGGAGCCGCAGGAAATCGAAGGAGGAGCGGAGAACATTAGAGGGCAATTGGCAAAAGTGAACTTTGATGTGTAAATATTAAAAACATTCTGCACACGACTTAAGCACACATGATTTTTGTTCTGATTCCATTTTAAGTCTGTTGGAGCAACGTTGTTGATTATTATTTAAGTTTAGTTTAGTGCGAGGCTAAAGAATGTTCTTTCCACGGCGAACGTTGTATAGAAGTAGCAGGAGAGGAGTAGCGGGTGGTCAGATGGCCAGATGGTCCACGCCCGCAAGCGGTAGATGTAAAGAGCCTAAGCTAGGTCGGTGTAAAGTTAAGGACTCGTGTGCGTGTGTATCTATAACCAAGCGAACTAGTTACAATATGGGTGTATTTATTAATCCTTTTTTTTGCAATCTAATGTAACACTAATCAATATGCGTAATTAGCGTTCGATCGGAGCTAGCAAATATACTAAGTACGGGAGAAACCAAAGTGTGTGTATAAGCATCAGTCTATCTACGAGCGATAAACAATACTACCTATCTATCGAATTACCGAAACTATGTTAAATATCGTAATAATCTAATAATCAGACCTAAGTAAGAGCGATTACCCAATATTTTTTTTGTATCGTATTGTTAGAGAGCAGGCATAAAGTTAAATCAAAAATATCTAAAGTGTAAGATAAACCCGCTTAGACTTATATACGTGCATATACATAAAACACACCCCATACTCCATGTTCTGGACAGCAACAATAATAATAAAAACCAGAACAAAATGCAAATGAAAGAAATCAAAACTAAAGAGAAAAGAGTAAAGAGTAAAAGTAAAAAAGCAAAAAAAATTAAACAAAGGCAAAAGCGAAAGCTAAAACAAAAGGAAACAATAAATGTAATTAACAAACATTTGAAAAAATTAACCCGCAGTTGTTGGCATTCATTTCATCGAGGGTTTTGGAAAATGGTATATTATGGGGTACTCGATTGGGATTGGGTTTTGGGCCCACCCGTCTGCCGATTGCAGTTTGTCGCTTGACATTTGTTGACTCTTTCGCTTTGACGGCCATTAATCACGGCATTGTTGTTGCCAATTTCAAATCCACAGCCCAGACAGCCAATCCGCACCAGAACGGAATGGAAGGCTGATAAATGATGCCTCATATTTTTGAGCTCCGGGCTCCGCAGCGCTCCGCAATTGAAATAATAAAACCAAAACCGAAACCAAAACCAAACCAGTCAGCCACCCCCTCTGAACCATTGATTAATGAAACTTTAAAAGGGAACACGCGTCTTTTGTCTGCAACGACCGCAAAACTTTGCCATGGAGATAGCGCATCTTTTCAATATACGATGCCGAAGTTTGCCGTCTTATTGGCTGCGGATTGGGAGTGGGATTGGGATCCAAGGAGCCAGGACCACGCCGCCGCAGGCCATAACAATAAAAGTCATTTATAGATTTCGATTTCGGGCACATGTGAGAGAGCCTGGTGCAGATTCCCCAACTCCGTGCCCCTTGGGGGCCCAACTATATGTATATATGTATATATAACTTGGGCATTGAATAGTTCCCGGCTTATCAGCACTTTTGTTCGCAGGAAACACGAGGAGGGTGGGCTCGGGGTGGTGGTGGGTCCTTTTCCTGGTCCTTTGTCTTTGCCATGGTCCTCGGCTGGTGTCATAATCAGTATCAGTGCTTATGAAAATGTCCTTTGTCCCAAAATGCGTATCTGCGCGGCTGCCCATTTCCTTGTCGTCGCCATAAAAATCTATAAAAATAATGTTTCAATTCTGCACGGTCTTCTTGTGGACGGGGTTGGGGCTGAAGTTCCACTGTCAATCATTCGGGGTGAAGAATGTGCCCAAAGTATTATGATAAGCCAAGAGAAATCGCTGGCATTGCGGGATGGCAGCAGGCAATTAAATTCGCTCGACAAAGCCACCCCACGCTCATCGGATACTTAATTAAACGAGTTTGCGTCAAACTCTTTTCATGTTTTAATTACGCAAATACTCGGCATAATTTACCAGATGCTATGACAACAAGTAAAGAGCGAAAAATATGCATAAGAAACAATTTGTCTAAGCTGCGGTGCCTTTGTCCCCCAGAAAGTCCACCAAATAGTCCCATCCAATCCAAAACAATCCCCCCGTGCATCCAATCCCGCGCCATTGTAATGCGACAACTCTCAACGCCAACCTTGTGTCAACTTCAAAGTGGAAATTCCAGAATTCACCTTGTTTGCATATTCCTCTCCTGATCCAGTTTCCGATTATGTTTCTGTGCCCACTCCTGGATTCCCGATTCCCAACTCCTTCTCATCGCATAACTTCAGGGACTCGGATTGCTTTGTGCAAATTAGTTCAGCGGCATGACCGATTCACTCCGAAATGGAATCCAGTGTAAACAATATTACTCAAGGACTTAACTCGTGGAGGATCCCTGTTCTTGGGTTCAAATGGCTTAATGCTCTGTCTTGGGATTGCAGGGGTTTTTATACTCCATTTCAGAAGTGCACAGCTTTGGAATGCATCATAATTTCGAAAAAAAAACAGTCTTATTATGATATGTCTGCGCAACTTGGATATCTGTTTTTAAGCCTAGCCATAACATTTTTATTTTATTTTTTTTAGTTCAAAATTAACTTAAGTTGATCCATTATAAAAATTCAATACTTTAATGCCGATAAATATAAAATTAAATCATAAACTTAGAATCTCTGAAGGTTGAGTTTTGACCACATTTATAGAGAATTTAACAATAATTGATCTATTTATTAAAATCTATCTCCAGATAGTTGAAAAAAGTTGTACCTTTCGTATACCTTCAGCTTATTACATACTATCAACTGGCGTTTAATATTAAAACTATATTTAAAATATTATATAATCAATTCACCTTCCGTTTAAATGCATCATGGACTCGTAACAGAAAATTTCAGCAACCTTCCTACAGATTAGTTGATTAATTTACAACATTCTAAATTGTTGTAATCGGAACACAGATTTAAATACATTTTTATTCAAATCTGCTTAAATAGCCTGCTCTTGTTGCTCAATTAACTTAAGTTTTGGATATGTACCACTTTTGTAAGTTTTTAAGTGATTTTATTATCTTGTTTTTAAAAACCGTTTTAAAAAATAAATACAAGTGTTAGTCATGTATGTTTCTCAGAATATCCTACCTTTTTATTTTATATAAAATGTAATGCAAATTCAATGGAAACCGACATGAAAACTTATATTCTTATTATTCTTATAGCTAAAGTAATGTGGCCAGATAACCAGTTTTAGGTCACCTTTTCCGAATTCCTTAATAATGCTATAGACAACTAAAATACTCTTATATTTTCGAAATGGCCCACTAATAATGTAGGATTTATAATATACGTTTATAATACCCTATTTGGCCAGACTATTTGAGTTGGTAACATGATTGTGAGAGGATAGTTCCTTCAGGCCTTATTAAGATGCAGTTGATGGATCAGCAGGTCTCATAAGTACACTTTTGAAATGATGCAAGCTGAGATTGGAATGCTGATGGGATAGTTTTCGCATTTCTCGTCGTAGTTGACAATGCACTTGGGGCATGCCATAAATATGCTTTGTCCCCCTTCCGAATGTTGTGCCCGGGGCCAATCAAGAAAGGGCAGGACTCCCAGTCCCCAGTCCCCACACCCCCGCCCGAAGGATGTCCCGACCCACATGTCAAGTGGGGGTTGCCCCCGTATCTGGTGAGTGGGTGGGTGTGGGTGTGGGTGTGGCCAAATGCCAAATCAGCGTCGTCGTGTCCTTCGTCTTGAGAAGAGCGAAGAGCGATGAGAGCCGAGGGCCGAGGAGTGGGGCAGCCGCCGAAGGAGACAGTGCGGAGCGAGCGAGAGAGATGCGTGTGAAATGGCAACGCCCACTTTCTGGGACCCCACCACTCCACCACCAAACCACCCCACCCAAACCACCACCGGGAGCCAAGGCGCCAAGAAAAAAGCTCTGTTAGCCGCTTACAGAGCTCTGTTAATCGGCAGGAGGCGTCGCCTGCTAAAACAGGACTCTCTCTTGGCCACCTATGTATCCTTTTCCTAGTTGCGCTTTTCCTCCATCCTCCTCTTTTTTTTTACCATTGTTGAGGTTGCTATCTGATGCAGACAAACTACTGCTGCACTTGCCCGAAGACGGGGTAGATTGGTATTCCCAACAGCTACCCCTGGAACCCAGCTATTCGTCTTGCTCACTGTCACCCCCCTCCCCCCTCCCACGGACTCTACCGCCCTGGTCTGCCCCTCGAAATGTTTATAACGTGTGCCTGTGTTCATGATTTAATTAAAAACTTTTGCTTGCATGCAGCAAAATGCACATTCGACGACAAAAGGGCAACTCGAAGGCCGACAAAGAGTCGAAATTAGATCGCTTAATTATAGAGTTGCAGAATTGCAATCGGCCAACTTTAGAGGA